CTCCCAAAGTTCTGGGATTACATACAGGCTTGAGCCACCACGCCTGGCCAGTTCTCTGCTTTTTCTTATCTTTGCTACTCTAACAGTCTTGAAATTAGAAGATTCTTTAGGGTCTTAACTGTGTTACCTTGAATAGATAGCCTCTTTTGTGAGCTCTGCTTCAAAAGTTCTCTGTGCTTACTTTTATGTATGGGTGGTTTTTTTCCTTAATGGAATTTCCATTAATAAGTTCATATTCATTTGCAGGATTGCGGTTACAGAAAAAAATCTTGCATTTACTGGGCAGAAAGTGCTAAAAATTAAATACATCATCTCATCAATTTTAGATCCCAAGCTTGGCTTAAGGCCATCTTGAATAGATAAATGGCACCTTGGTCATTGGAAGTCTTCTGTGAAGTGAAGGTAGTCACATGGTTGTGACTCTGCTCATAGAGTTAATATTACCTAAACAATAAACTGAACTAAATTTAAGGCAGTGGTACAGGTGACAGATCCTGATACTCACGGATCTATTGTCTAGTGTTGAAATATGTTTGCTTGATTTTAATTTTATATTTTAAATAACATTTACTGTTTAAAAAAAAACAGTTACCTATTATAGAAAACTTAAGAAAAAACTAGCACAGCACAAAGATGATCATTAAAATCAATCACAATCCTAACACCTAGGCAGAGTGAAATTGGTTATTTTTTCAGAGAAGTGAAGCAGATTAAGTTTAACAGCATTTCTAGAATAACTTCAATGATACGCCAGAAGGGCTCCCACAAGTGCAGCTGAGTATCTGTATGATGTGGGGAGTGGTCTGAGTGGCAGATGACTCAGAGTTCCTTCATTTGCAGTGGTTCTGTGTGTACTGCGTTAGGCAGAGTGTAGGCTCTTGAGGGCTCACAGAGAAGTTTGCCAAGTGCCTCTCATGACCCAGGTGTTGATCTAGGACTAGGAATATAGCGGTGCCCAGGACAGGCAATGCCCTTGCGTTCACGAAGCTCACCTTAGAAAGAACTGACCTGTGGGCACATCACTCCTCATGTTTCTGTTTCTTCACCCACATAATGAACATATTAATATTTATCTGACAGGTTTGTTGTGAGATTAGATGGGGAAGTCTACAGTGATTAGCACATAGCAGATACTCTGTCAATGTTTCCTCATTGCTGAATCATTATAGACAGGAATACACAGCAGATTTCTAAGACTGTTGGAAAAAAAACAAGTTAAAGAAAGCAGCCCTTGCTCATGCTTTCCTGGAAAGTTAACTACTTGATATATTAACTGCTTATAGCAGTCCACATCTTCAATGTGGACAGTCTGGTGCAGATGCTAGTTAGTAGGTTATATAGAAAGGAGGCTCTTCATAGGATCTCTGCATGGAGGACTTCTTTGCAGCTTCTGTTGATTTTGTTAAAATCAAGAGTACTATAGTTTTCATTCATAAATACAGATGGTCCTTAAATTACAGTGGTTCAATTTACAATTTTTTAACTTTACCATGGTGTGAAAGGGATACAAAACCACAAGGTTTCAGTCTTTAAGCATTGGTGATTCTTTAACCAAAGACTCTGTGCTGCCTTTTGACTTAACATATTTTCAGTTTACCATGGGATTATTGGGACATAACCATATTGTAAATCGAGGATTGTATGTACAGTTTTTTTATTGTTCTACTTCAGAGTATAATGAAGTATATTAAATGCTGAAGTAGCTTTAAACACTTCAAACAAAACCAAAAAACACAACCATGAGATACATCTTTAGTGATATTGGAAACACTTCATAAGACTAAAACATGCAAGATGAAAATTCATGACTTAGAAGAAATCATTGTATGTTTAGTTCCTTGATTCCCTTCTGGTCTGTTTTTGAAGCCCTTTTGCAGCAAGTGAATCATAATAAACTAATAAGTTTTAGAGTGCCGATTTTCAAAATGTGATGCAACTTTTATGGTTCTGTACTTTATTATTAAATACATAGATGCAAATAAGAATTTTCTTTTTAATCTGTCAACGACAAGAATCTGTTGAAACCCTGCTCTGTGCCGTGTGCCATGCTGCTCTGTTAGGGGACTGGGGATGCCAGGGCATGCTGCCAGGGAGCTCTCGCCTCAGTGGGAGAGAGTAAATGCAGAGTGCTTTGCTATTGGTTTAAAAGAAAGGAACACAAATGTGATTGCTCTCTTACTCTGGATTTGCCTTTCTGGCATGTTGCCTGGTTCCCAAGACGAAGTCTCGGATGTGTACATATTTGAGAGTTCAGTACGCAGTATCTACTCACTGAAGTATAAACGAAAGACCATTTTTCAAAACAAATGGTATATAATATTTTTTTCTTCTTTAGGGCTCTGGAACTTCATCCATTCTCAATGAAACCTCTTCTGCGGCGGGCAATGGCCTATGAAACCCTAGAGCAGTATGGGAAAGCTTATGTGGATTATAAAACAGTGTTGCAGATAGACTGTGGTCTCCAGCTTGCAAATGACAGTGTTAACAGGTAATTAATCTGAGGCAGCTACCTAAAATCTAGTTGTTTTGTACTGTTTTTCCCTTCCCCTCCTTCAAGAACATGTCAAAGTATAGCTGTGTTCTCAGTTACTTTTATCGCCTCAATGATTGCCGCCTTTTACTCTATTACTTAGAGTAAAAGGTTCTCTTCCTTAATGTAATTTCTGACTCTCTCTTAATACATTCTGAGTTGTTCTATAATGCCTTTGTATTTGTTTTCTGATCTATTTATTACTGCTCAATCTATATATATATTTTTTGATCTTAGTAACACAGGATATAACTCATATGTGCTGCTTAAATATGTGTGGTGATAAGAAGGTATTTACATTGCTATCATAAAATCAGTACTAGTAGCTGGGTACGGTGGCTGATGCCTGTAATCCTAGCACTTTGGGAGGCCAAGGCAGGCAGATCACTTGAGGTCAGGAGTTTGAGACTAGCCTGGCCAACATGGCGAAACCTCATCTCAACTACAAATACAAAAATTAGCTGGGTGTGGTGGCAGGCGCCTGTAATCCCAGCTACTCAGGAGGTAGGAGAATTGCTTGAACCCAGGCTGTGGAGACTGCAGTAAGCTGAGATCACACCACTGCACTCCAGCCTGGACAACAGAGCAAGATTCCATCTCAAAAAAAAAAATTAAAATTAAATAAGTAAATCAATCAGTACTAGCTGTAGAATAAGATCCAAAAATGTGGTGAAAACTGCTGTGTTGAATCCTCTCCTCCCACAGGATTTGCAGGTGTTCACTGGCACCATATCTGACAGTGGAAACATATCTGTTGTTTCTCCTGAGGAAAACAGCAATCTTCATGAGCCTGCCAGATATTTCTGTCATATGCCCTTGTAAATAGACACTTATCTAGGATGAGTAGTAATTTATAATGGTGAAATAGCAAATAATTTGAATTTAATTTATATTATGACCTATTTACCCCCAGCATGAGAATGGAAAGGTAAAAACTTCCAGACTTCATCAGTTGCTTTCCGGTGAAATCTGAAAAATTACTAGTTGGATAACATTTCTAGTTATGCATGATATTTTCTGATCCCATTTGCTTAAAGTATAATTTCTGAAATATTTATATGTTACACTGTACCCTGTGCTGGACCACGGCCTGCTCCCCTCAAAAAAGAAAAAAGGGGAAAAACATTTCTAGTTATGTATGATATTTTCTGATCCCATTTGCTTAAAGTATAACTTCTGAAATATTTATATGTTACACTGTACCCTGTCCTGGACCACGGCCTGCTCCCCTCAAAAAAGAAAAAAGGGGAAAAAACGACATGATGTCCGTCTTTAAGCACACTAGAATATAGCTGGGTAGAAACAGTGTACAGCAGTTCATCCCCAGGCTGGGGGAAGGGATCACAGAGCGACCACGCCACCTGTGTCTGTATGGGCTGAACTTGTGGAGAGAGCACTTGAGGGGGCTTTGAAGGATGCTGAGAGAACGTGAAGAGACCTTAAACAAAATTGTCGAAAATGAGAATGGTAATTCAAGGTAAGTTTTAAAATCAGACCTTACCTTCCCATGTGGTCCCAGCCCTGCTGGAAAGATACATAGGCAGAGCTGACAACCGCTCTCTTGGTAGTCACAGGGAACCCGTCTGATCCCAGCCTGCCTAGAAGAAAGGGACATACATCCATTATCTGTGATGGGGTGAGATGACACTGAACCTCTGGTACCCACAGTCTCCTTGACCTTGAGCCTCCTTGGCCTTGATCAGGCAGTCTCACCTGGCCCTGCACAGCCACCCCACAGGGCGCCATCTGCTGCCTCCTTTTATGTGCCTGCAGGCCCTTTCTCCTTTTCGTCTTTGAATTCCTTCTCATCTATCAGGAGAGGACTTGCCTCCTCTAGGAAACTACTTTCCCTGATCTACTGTCTCCCTACCCTAGAGGTGCGCCTTAGGTTCCCTTTCTCAGTGCCCCCATAACACTGGGCCCTCTTTTATTACCCAGCTTCCATATTGTTTTTAAGTTTGCTGTCTCTCTGTCTAAAATTCTTTTCCTGTGGCTCTAGCAGGTGTTCCCTGAGGTCAGAAATTGTGTTTTTTCATCTTTGTTGCTGCACTGCCCCCATGTCTGCGTCTGGTAGACATCCTCAATAAAAATGAGTGCGTTTTCAAACAGAGAAGATAGGGTTCACCCCTTTGCTTTGGGGCATTGCTTGTTGCTTTTAATTCGCCCCATCCTCGGCTTGGTAGTTTTCAAGGTAGAGGTGGAGAAAGTAAGATCTTCTCACAGTGTTAGAAGTTATCATGAAATGGAAAATGGGGAGACACCGGAAGTATCTGGCAGAGAGGAGGGCCTGATGAAAAGGCATTTTAAGAAGTCTAATTAATAGTAGGCTGAATGGTTGAAGGGAGAAATGGGTCTGAGAGACCATGATTACTGACATTTCTGACCTTTTTGCATTACGGTTTTTCTAAAAAATTGAGGTAGAATTCACGTACATAAAATTAACTAAGGTGTACCATGCAGTGGCATTTTGTACACACACCATCTTGGGCAGTCATCACTTCTTTCTAGTTCCAAAACATTTCCACCACCCCAAAAGGAAGCCTTGTACCCAGTAAGCAGCCACACCCCATTTTCCTTTCCCCCTAGCCCCTGGCAACCACAATCTGTGTTCTGTCTCTATGGGTTTATCTGTTCTGATGTTTCATCTAAATGGAATCATATATGGCCTTTTGTGTCGGGCTTCTTTCACTTAGCATGTCTTCAGGGTTCATCCACGGCATAGCATGGATCAGTACTTCATTGCTTTTTATGGCTAACATTCCATTATATGCATGTATATATCATATCACATCTTGTTTATCCATTCACTGGTTGATGAACATTTGGGTGATTTCCACCTTTTGGCTATTGTGAACAGTGCTGCTGTGAACACTGATGGACAAATTTTTGTTTGCATACTTCCTTTCAGTTCCTTTTCGTATATGCCTAGGAGTAGAATTGCTGGGTAATACTATGTTTAATTTTTTGAAGACTGTATTATATTTGTTGTATGTACTTAAGAAGGTTCATTTAAAGTAATTGACTTTTAAGACTCTTTTTTTAATTGAATGGTTCTTGTTGATATTTTGTTGATGAGGAGGCTTTGGTTTTGCCATGTATATTTTTATATACAATATCTATTTAAAATTTTTGACTATTTCTTATTTGTGAATCCCATATTTATGCTTGCTTTTCCATCTATTCCAGTTCATTATGGAAAATTAAGCAGCAGCAGCTGTTTTTGTTTTTAAATTTAAACATCTGTATTTATTTTGTTTCTGTCTTCCATTAACCATATTCCTCTCTTCCTCTCCAGGAATCTTATATGTTAAATTTCCCTGCATATACTTATTTATTCCCTGGCAACACATCATCTCTTTTCAGCTGCTTCTTCCTTCCTCTCTGCTGGTAATACAAGTTTTGCTTGAAAATTCTTTTTTCTCAAACTTCTTTTTCTTCTGCAATTCTGGGTGGTTATACATTAATTAAAAAATTTTTTTTTTATCTTAAAGCATAAGATTCAATTATTATAACCAAAGATCACTATGGAAATTTAAGTTTAAGAAACTACAGGGAAAGTATGTGCATTACATTTGTCTACATATAAATATAAAAGTTTTTCACACAAAAAGTATGTGCGACTAGATTTAACTAACTTGACTTTATTCTACTAATTGCCAGTAAACCAGTTCAGTCTTATGAAGCAGTTCTTTTTAACCAGATGTGTTCAAAAGACATAATTTTTAATTTTGTTTTTAAATCTAATTATGACATTCTGTATGTTTAAAATAATGAATAAGTGATCACCGAGGACATTAATCTAAATTTTATGATGGCCATCAGTAAATGCCATTAATAAAAAAGCCCTTGTAGTAGAATCTAGTATCTTATTTTTTCATCCTCATTCATATGAAAAGAGAATAAATGGGGCTGGGTGCGGTGGCTCATGCCTGTAATCTCAGCACTTTGGTAGGCTGAGATCAC